GGGGGGGGGGGCGGGGCATGGACACGGAGAGTGGCGGAGGGGGGCTCCCGGGGCACCTCCCGTCTGCCGTCCGCTTTGCCCCTGACGGCCTTCCCCGAAGCCAGACCCTCACCTGCACCCCGTCGTGGGCAAAGAAGGCCTTGGTGTCGGCCTCGGTGGCCAGGTGCAGACAGGTGGTCCTGCTCCAGCAGCGGTTCCGACGCACCAGCAGGGCGAAGGCGCGGTCCTCGCTGCTGCGGTAGCACTCAGAGAAGAGGCCTGCCCGAGGGCGCCGGCCGCCCGCACTCGCCCATGCGCCCCTCCCTCCTCTGCCCTGCACCCACCCCCCCCCCCCCGGGGGCTGCCGAGGCCTGCCCGCCCGACCTGCCCAGGGCCCTTCCCTCCCCCCGTCAGTCACCCCAAACGTCCCGAGGGGTAGCAGGACCCGGTGTGTGCCCAGGGCCCCGCCCAGAGCCCCGCTGCACCCCGCCGGGCCGGTGGCTCACCCAGGGCCAGCTGCTCGTACTTGGCCTCGCTCCCGCCGTGGCCCCCCTCGGCCCCCGCCTCCAGGTGGGACATCTCACGGAGGATCTTGCAGGCGGCCAGAGCGGCGGCCACCCCCTCCTGGCCCTGGGAGACGGGGTCTGAGGAGGCCGCCCACCACGCCGCCCCTGCCCGGCCCCCCCCGCCCCCCCCCCCCAGTCCGGGCCCCACCCACCATGGCCCAGAAGTAGGCGGCCATCTCGTGGCGGTTCTGCAGCACGGCCCAGAGGAACAGGTCCCGCCACGGGTTCTCGCTCTTTCGGTTCAGGTCCAGCAGCCCCTTCCCGGCCTCGGGCCGCCCGGCCGGGCTCCGCTCCTGTGGGACCGGGCTGTCAGCGTCAGGGTGGCCCCGCCCCGCTGTGCCCCGCCCGGCCCGGGCCCCCCCGCTCACCGCCTGGTAGAGCCCACGGCAGGCGTCGTGCAGGAAGTCCTTGAGCAGGCGGGACACCTCGTGCAGGGAGAAGGCGGGCGGGCCCTCGGGCAGCTCGCGGGCCTGCTGGGCGCCCAGGCCGGCCAGCGTCAGCCGGCCCTCCTCGTGCTTGCGCCGCAGCAGGTCGAAGAGCAGGCTCTTGGGGGGCGTCGAGCGGTACAGCTGCTGCAGCCGCCCGAACGTCAGGAAGTCCGCCACGTCGGCGCCGTTGTCCACGAAGAGGCGCACGAACTCGGGCTTGTCGCTCACCAGCGCGTCCATCATCACCTCCTCCAGGTCGCGGGACTGGGGCCGCCACCCGACACGCCCGGGGCGGGGAGAGGGGCCGAGTGAGCGGGAGCCGTGGCCTCCCTGCCCCCCCCTCCTCGGCCGCGTGGGGCAGAAGGGGCCCCCGCCGGCGGCCCTCGGGGCGCCGCCTGCCCCCAGGCCCTCAACTCGGCGCTCGCCCCTGTGTTGGCCAGAGGCGAGGCTCCGGAGGCGTCGGCCGGCGGGTGGGCGGGCGGGCACCTTCCACTCCACGTCCCCGTTGAAGATCTCGCTCTTGGCGATGTCCACGCGGTCCCAGGCCACGGCCAGCTTGAGCTCGTCCAGGTAGTCCTGCGCCTCCTGGCTGTGGCTCTTGCAGGCTGCGGGCAGAGCGGGCGGGAGGTGAGCGGCGAGCCCAGGGCCCCTCGCGGTGGTCTTCTGGACACACAGCCCTGGAGCCATGGCCTGCGTCACGCCCTCGGAGTGACGGCGAGAGGCCCACGGCGTCGCAAGGTTGTCGGCAGAAATGATGGCTCCCGGGACCCCGACGGGACAGGGTGAGTGGAGCCGGGGGGAGTGGATGGTCTGTCTGGAGGAGCTTCCGGCCCCCCTGCCCCTCCCGGCCTGGGTCTGTGTCTGGCTGCCCGAGGTCAGGCCCTCGGCACGGCGTGTCCCCACCATGAAAAGCCTTTTGAGGGGCAGCCAAACAGCAGGGACAGCACAGTGTCTGTCATAGAGGAACAGAGAGAGACAACGCGGTCCCTCCGCTCCGTGGAGTGTCCCTCGGCCCTGGAAAGCAGGGAGGCACCAGCAGGCCACAGCGTGGATGCTCTTCAGAAACACGGGCTCAGAGGAGGGAGCCGAACACTGCCCACGGCGGGAGCCCATGGATGGGAAGGGCCCCAGAGGGGCAAATCTGTCCACACAGAAAGCGAGCCGGTGGCCACCGGGGGCCAGGGAAACGGGCAGTGACTGAACGGTGCCAGACTGCCTTTGGGGCAATGCAAACGTTCTGGAATTAGACAGTGGGGATGGTTGCACAACTCGCAAATGTACTAAAAGCCGCTGGGTTGAACGCTTCAGTTTCTTAAATTACAGTAAGATAGGTCAAACTGAAACTTGTCGAGCACAGAACGCTGGACAAATTTGCACAGAAGCCAGGGCCATCCCTGTGTCGTTCCAGTGTTGTTACATGTGCTGCTGGAAAACCGAGCACTGGGCCCCGCACACAGGCACAGGCACTCAGGCACACGCTCACTCACACAGGCACACGCCCGCATGTGACGCACACAGGTGCATGCATGAGCACGTGCACACACACACACACGCACAGCAGAGGGGTGCCATCCCGGGAGTCCTGGCTGCTGACTGACGTGGTCCCTGGGCGGTGGCCCGGCCCCATGGACGTGTCAGATCCTGGAGGGTGAGGCCCAGGACGGGGCGGGTGCGGGAAGCAGCCCCTACACAGCTGGCGCCCCCGCTCACCCCTGCCCCTGCGCCCTCACCTTTTATCAGGGCCTTCAGGATGATGGTGTCCAGCTCCTCGGAGCCCTCCTGCTCGAAGTCGTGCACGGTGAGCAAGTGTGGGTGGGAGGTGATGTTCTGCAGCTGGGACACCGGGACAAAGGCCCTGAGTGGCCCTGGGGGCAGGGGGCAGGCCAGGGGCCTGAAGCCAGAGCGGGCTTGGAGACTTTGTTGGGGAAGGGAGGAGGCTGGGCCCTTCCTCGTGGACAGGAGGCATGGAGACGCCCAGCAGGACTTTCCCCCGGGGGCGGCCCACCCGGGAGGGGGGCCTCGTCCTGTGGGGGGCCCCTACCAGCTGGGTCCAGTGCACGACGTCCTCCCAGCACAAACGTTCTCCGGGAAACTTCTCTTTGAACTGCTTCTCCACCGCCTGGGGCACCAGGAGGTGGGGCTGGTTCACGAAGGCAGCCAGCACGTCCGCGATGCCACCCGAGCCTGCCAGGATCAGCCACGGGGCAGCGTGCTCCACGGCCCTGGAGATCCTCTGAGGCGGCGTGGCGGGGAGAGTGGACCCCGAGTCAGCTCAGGGGCCGCCCTGGGCCCATGTGCCAGAGGTAACCCGTCCCAGGCCAGGGAGGGCCCCGCAGGAAGCCGCAGCCGGCCAGGGGGCTCCCGCCAGGCCCCCACCTCCCTCCCCTGCCCTACCTCCAGGGTGCTGGGGTCGCCGTTGACCAACAGACAGAGGACGGGGATCTCGATGCTGCTGGTGCCTGCAGACAGAGCGCCGGCCAAGTCCTCCCAGGTGTCCGAGCAAGTGGGGACCCTGGCACCCTCCCCTTGGGGTGGGCACCCAGGCCGCTGGCCATCACCCCCAACATTATCTGGGGAGACACCTGCCCGGAGGCTTTTTCTAGTGAAGTGTGGGCTCCAGGCTGCATATCACATACAGACACGAGCCCCTTCGCTTGGGGACAAGGACGTCAGCCCCGCACCCCACTGCCCAGTGGGCCGCTCACAGATATTTAGACACAGAGGAACGTAAGTGAAGTGAAACACTCAATCCCTGGCTGCAGCAGCCACGTTTCAAGCGCCTCTATTCCCGTCATGGCAGAAAGCTCTGCCGATCGCCCTGCAGGCCCGCGGGAGCAAACCAAAGAGTAGGGGAGGGGCCTTGGTCGGCTTTGCCCCCAAACGTTAGCCGGAAACGAGAATCCCGACGCGGGAGGACGCTGGGGAGGCAGGGAGCAGCGGGCCCCTGTGACTCCCAGAGCGGCCTCCTCGTTGAATCTAGAGGACAGACCGGTGCGTGCCGTCCAGGCCTCAGCGAGCCGGAGCCCCCCACCACCGACGTGGTCTAAATGCGGCCTCGACCATATTTTTATTCTTAAAGAATACTCAGCAGATATTTAGGCTGTTGATAAATATTGTAGGCAGTTATATATCGTGTGTATACGTTTTACTTACGCACTGGTATTTCTTAATACTAGAAACCCAGCTTTCAAACCCACCTCTGGCCACAGTCACATCCGTTCCTTGGGCAACACCGCCCTCTGGTGGCAGCGTACCTCGTGGCTAGCTTGGCTGGTAGAGGAAACCAGGCCTTTCAAAGCTCGCAAATCCGTTTCCTTCCCAAGCCCCGAGCCCCCCCACCCCCGCCCCTGGGGAGCCCCGGGGCGGCCGGGCGAACAAACCAGCAACTCTCTCATCCGGCAGGAATGTCGCTGCCCGGCGGGGCCAAACTCCTAGCTGCGCCCCCACCAACGCACTGACCGCTTCCCATCCCAGACCCCCAGAGGCCAGGTCTCCACACTCAGGCACGCTCAGTGCCTTCAGCCCGGAATGCGCACACCCCGTGCCCCCATGACCACCCCCCTCCCACCCGCCCTGGGACAGGTCTCACCCCCATAGCCGGTTCTCTGCTCCGCGATGTGCTTTTCCAGCCTCAGCCGCAGCTCCGACGGCCCGTCCCCCTTCCCGGGAGGCCCAGGCTCCACCAGGATGAAGTAGGTGTGGTTGTTGTCCAGGGAGCAGAGGGGGCCCCGGCTGCTGCCTTCGTCCACGGGGTAGTGGACAGGGCTGTCCTCCTGGACCCCCCCCCCCCCCACCGTGAGCCCTAAATGAGGGTTCTTCTGCCCAGGCCTGTCCCCACCCCCAGAGGGAGGGAGGGCCGGGCTGCCGGCGCCTGGGGCCCAGGGGCGTGGTGGGGGAGGGGGGGCGGCCAGTGGGTCCTCTGGACAGAACCAGGGCCGTGGGGCTGCCAGGCCCTGCCTCGGACAGACTCTGGGCGGGGAGCAGAGGCCACTTGCCGGGGTCACCCAGGCTTGCGGGCCGGTGTCCGGATGGGGCCTGGGTCCATTGGGAACCAGTCCTGGGCAGGGCTCTGGAATCCAGGTCCCCATGTCTGGTCTGCGCTGGCTGCGAATCTGGCAGACCCCTCCCCACACTGCTCCCTGAGCAATGCTGCCACCTGCTGGCCGTGTGCTGGGCTCGCCCTCCTCCCCCTCTCCTCTTCCCCTCCTCCTTCCTCCCTTCACTCCTCCTCCCTTCCTCCTTCCCCTCCCTCCCCTCCTCCTTTTTCCATCTCCTTTTCTCCTCCCTCCCCTTCTCCCTCTTCCCTCCTCTCCCTCCTCCTCCCCCTCCTCTTTCTCCTCCCTCCTCCTTCCCCTCCCTCCCCTCCTCCTCCCCCTCCTCCCTCCCCTCCTCCCTGCCCTCTCCCTC